CGCAATCGGCCAACGTTTCCCAGCTAAGTGTGTGTACCCGCGTTTACGTGCGTGTACCCGCGTGTACGTGCGTGTACGTGCGTGCACGTGCGTGTACCCGCGTGCACGTGCGTGTACCCGCGTGTACGTGCGTGTACCCGCGTGTACGTGCGTGTATCTGCGTGTACGTGCGTGTACGTGCGTGTACCTGCGTGTACGTGCGTGTACCCGCGTGTACGTGCGTGTACGTGCGTGCACGTGCGTGTACTCGCGTGCACGTGCGTGTACCTGCGTGTACGTGCGTGTACCCGCGTGTACGTGCGTGTACGTGCGTGTACCCGCGTGCACGTGCGTGTACGTGCGTGTACCTGCGTGTACGTGCGTGTACCCGCGTGCACGTGCGTGTACCTGCGTGTACGTGCGTGTACCCGCGTGTACGTGCGTGTACCCGCGTGTACCCGCGTGTACGTGCGTGTACCCTCGTGTACGTGCGTGTACCCGCGTGTACGTGCGTGTATCTGCGTGTACGTGCGTGTACCTGCGTGTACCTAAGTTGCTATATTTGCTTTATATCTATAAATAAAATAAAGTATCTATAAATATTTCTGTATCCTTATAGCAGCAGTTTCACGTGCGTTTAACTCATAAAAGTGACTGAAAATCCCCCCCCCCCAAAAAAAAAAACAATTTACATGGCTTACTTTGTAGAAAGGGGTGATTACTTTTTTTGAGAAATCTTTTCACAGTTTACAGAACTGTAAATGGATGTTATATGTTCTTTATAGTAACAGCTTGAAAAAAATTATTGAAAAGTATGTGTGCCGCCAAAATATTGTGTCTAACGCCAATAACATTTTTTAAAACTCCACACGCATCACAGCTCGCGGTTTACTGTGGTTTGCAATGAAGACAGATATTCGACTATTGGGTTTATTCTAGTGTAATAGAAAAGACAATTCACGAACACAATATAAATCTTTCTCAAGCTAGACAACGTATCATTTACAGCATTTGCAAAATTAACCTATAATGATCAAGAATATTCAAACAGGTATAATGTGTTGCTAGCTAATATGTTTATGTGTAAATAATATAATCATATGTAGCTATACATATTTATCACACGTACACCTCTTTCATAGAACGTTTTATACTCGTATTAAATTATTCCAACAATATTTGTGATGGGTGAATTATACCTAGGATTTCTTTATACATTCATTTCAAGCCCTGAATAAAATGAGCTTAGTGGATAAGTTTCCATTTACCTATAATTACCTGTAAACGAACGTGGTTTCAGCCGGACGTGCCCCTCATAACGCCAGACGATGACAGTGACATGTCAGGCTCTGGTTATTCTGGATACGGCTGGGATACAGGCTTGGAGGCAACCGATAAAGGTACTGGTAGGGGCAGCGCATAAACCTAGAGGCTCGGCTTCTGTTTAAAATCGCATTAAATTTAGTAGTAAATCTCTAATCATGTTAAAATATGTGATATATCTAATTGACGCACGTTTCTCGGTGATAACCCAGTTTGGAAAAAGATTGTCTTTTGACCTCACCACTTCGGTTTGTGTGGGCTTGATCATATAATCTTTGAATGCGTAATGTATTACATTTATTGCAGGCATCGTTGCACCCCCAATTATCACTCCGCCGCCTCCTGTGTTCTACAGCAAGGGTGAGAAGGGAGAGATGGGTAATCCTGGCCCTAGCGGTCCCCCTGGCATTAAAGGAGAACAGGTATATTTCACACGTTTAACGTATTTGATCGATTTCACTGTAGTCGACAAATTTGAGCCGTTTTCTGTGCCTAATTACTAGTTGAGCTTTGATCGTCAGAGTGTTAACTGGCTTGTAGTCTGGCATGGCTGGGCGAAAGTTAAATTGGTTTCTTGGCCTCTGACCCCTGGTGATGTTTTGCTTATGTACAGTCCCAGTTTTGCGCAGAGGAGTTATAACTGTTGACGTGTATATGCATGCAGCTGAAAAAGCTATATTACATCAACACACTGCGTGCTAAATAAAGCCGTTTAATCGCTAATATTACCATCTCATCAATCATTGAATTATCTTCTAAATTTAAGGTACAGTAGGCCTACTCGAACCTCACTTTATCTACTTTGTATGTCAAACAAGCAATACCGAAATGTCATTATATAAATGTGCATTTAGGTGTCAGACTGTTAACTCATTTCCCCTTCCTCCTGGGATGGGAAGGGGCAAAGTTGCGCGGGGTTTGTGTTCTGGGCAGTTGATCGTGGGCAGTGGTGTTGGCTAGTAACCATGTAATAGCATCTACAATATTCTGAAGGCTTCCAACTCCCTTCCCCCATAATAGATAAGACCCTGATATTGACAGCCACATTGTGAACATCACATGTGTCACGTGTCTAGTTGTGTCTATATGGTTTCTATGTGTGGTCTGTCGGTCTAATTCTGGTCCGTTATGGTTAATCTGCAGGGATTGTCTAGTTCAGGAGGCGGTTCTGGTAGTTGGCTTGCTGGCTATGGATCAGGAGATTATAATACCCAGGGAGCTCCTGGCCCACAGGGACCAATGGGTATGCCAGGAACTCCAGGAATCAAGGGAGCAAAGGGGGAGCGGGTATGCAATGTTGATAAACATTTTTGTCATATCTAGTATAATAAAGTACTTAACATTGTCATAGCGCCTTTACTCAAGTATTTTTTATTGGACTGAAATGTTTCTTTTCTGTATTCTAAGCATAGGTTCTAAATCCAATAACAATATTCAAGGTTTATTTTTTAACACCCAATATTTATAGTTAATTTTTATCAAAGTTCTGTCACATCACATGCCATCAATAGTTATGATTTTACATTTACGTATCTTCATTTTCATTTTAGTCTTACCACGTGTGATATTCTTTGCTGCAGGGTGACAGTATCATAGGTCCACCTGGTATGCCTGGTCCCCCAGGCCCACCTGGCTTAGTTGACAAGATGAAAGACTCCAGTGACGTTGTCAACAGTGGCCAGATAGCTCCAGTATGCCAATGCAATAGTACATGGCTGCAAATGTGGACAGACAGTGCAATGAGAGCTGGGGTAGGTCTGGTTTTTTGTCTGGTTACTGCCCTATGTAATGCTATAGGCATACGTTGAAGCAGAATTCAGCCAAATCCAGTGCCAAGTCCTCTTTAGATGATAATTACATGAATCTGTGTGCAGTTATCCTTCGATTTACACGATAGTTAAGGTTTAAAGAAATTGCCATATGAATAAAAAATGCGTGAATCAAACAACGTAAATAGTGGAGATTATAGGGAGGTTAGGTTGTTAATACGATAATATTATAGCCCTACTAATGAAGACCATGTTATGCACTTATAAGGAAATATAGAAATACCTGGAATATCAGCACAAAATAGGTGCTGCATCTATGTGGGAACCTGTCTTCCCACCCAACACTCATGTGATCTTTGTTTAAGTTTTAGTCTAAGATGTTAAGATTGTTTTCCTTGATTTACATATTGTATTTTGTGTATCTACTAACAGGCTATAGCAGGGCCAGGAGGCGAGAAAGGTGACCCAGGACGTGATGGGGTGCCAGGATTAACGGGACCACCCGGCCCACCTGGTCCCGCATGGGTAAGATGTGCATACTACACTACTACTTATTACTGATCACTGCTTTCATCTATACAGCAGTTTTGAGACGAATTCAAGCTTGCCACATTATAAATGGCAACACGAATATCTTTAGTATCAGGGGTGTAGCTAACTCATATATCGATTACAGGTAGGCCTAATTATACAGGTAAGACAATACCTTGGTGTTCTTGTATTCACTTTTTGGAAATCTGCACTTTTTGGACACGCAAATAAACACATAAAGACACACTTTTGGCCAGTTTTATTGATGTAACATCGAACATGGATCACTACTAAAGGTATTTATGACAGCAACAAAAAATCGGCTTTTTACTACTTTTAGGTGAAAAATTACCTATAACTCGGAATGAACATTGAAGTCCTACGGCATGTTTTGATCTGACAGGCTACATATTTTCTGCGGGAGGGGTGTTATATTCTTGGCAGTTGACCCTAGGCAGTTTGCTATTCCCCCCCCCTCCCAGCCCCAGCCAAATATATTAATTCATTGTCAGAGGCTAAGCAACACTAGAGATTTAGGTAGGAGAAACAAGTTTTCACCTATTTTTCAAGCGATTTTTCACTACAAAATTGGGTCAGGAAGTAGTACCAGAGAAAGGCCAGAGGTAGGCTACTATACTCTGTAGGAACGCAAATTCCTGCTCATAAAATCGGGCACTCTTTCCCGAAGTAAAATATATTGCTAGAATTGTATCCTACGTTAGCAGTAACAAAATTCAGGTGCTACATTCTACAACCATTAATTGTTATGGTATTGTATTTACAGCAGTATACAGTATAGACAGTTGATGGAACAGTGTATATGTGTGGTTTGCAGGAGTCTGTGTTAGCTTCAGGAGCAGGGTCTGGTGACATGATGGGCTCAGGAAATGGCTATTCACTGGTCGGACCTCCAGGAGAGAAGGGCAGTAGAGGTGACAAGGTAAGGGTCATGACAGTGTCCACTGTCTAATGTGCATTCGACAGTAAACATAGTTTAAGATGTATTGGTAATTAGAATGAGATGTTAAACGTCCCCGTACTTCAAAAAACAAAAGATCGATGTAGCCATGATGCTTCTGTATGGACATATCTGGTCAGATATTGTTAAATATAGATTCACGTTTAGGGTGACATGGGACCTCCTGGAGTGAGAGGAAGAGATGGTGAGGCGGGCAGGGATGGCTATCCAGGTAGAGATGGACGCAATGGACCGCCAGGACCCAAGGTACGCCTAGATACACCAAAACCATTCTACATTCTAAAGATTAGAAAACTACAATATAACAATAATAAAACCATAGTGGAAAGAACCATAGCGTTAAAGTTTAGAAAAGTAATGCAGGAATATTGTGTTGCCTTTACGTGCTTGACAGTTCTAAGCATCTATTTGCTGCACAAAGAGCAGTTTAAAAATGGCACACGTTTATGCGTGTACAAATGAACTAAGTAATTATAAGTAACACCTTCAGCATAACAATAATCTTGTTGACATGTCACCTGATCATCTGATGGAATATTTCTCATCAGGGTGAGGTTGGAGAACCAGGTTTTGGGCAGTCTGGTGCGATGGGCCTGCCAGGTCCCCCCGGGCCTCCTGGCTCACCAGGTGCCACTGGTACTCCTGGCTATTCAGCCAGAACTGGAGACTCCTTGAGCTCAAGTGGAAGTGGTTACTTCAATGGCATATTTGGATCTGGGGGTGATACAGATTCTAATAGTGTAAGTGTCTATTTTGTATGACTTGATAGTGCTGTAGCTCCTCTATAAGCAACGTTTCAACAGTTTCTCAGCAAATCATTCTGCTTTATAATTAGTGTATTAAGTTACTTTTAATAATATGCATTCAATGAGTTTTATTCTTTAATAAGTCGATTGCATGTGTAGCTATTGTGATTCCTAATGGTAAAAATAGGGCTATAATCGATTGATGGTTGTGATTGTTTATAGATGACACCCATGGTAGTCAGTGGAGAGAAAGGAGACACAGGCATGGTTGGTGCTGCTGGGAGAGATGGCCTGCCCGGGGAAACTGGTCCTCCCGGTATACCGGGCCCTGAGGGGAAGAAAGGCGATCCAGGCAGGGATGGACTTCCTGGTAAAGATGGTTTTAATGGCCATCCAGGAATACCAGGCATTGATGGCATGCCTGTAAGTATCCGGTGCATGGGTAGGCCTATCACATTATTGGCATGCAAACAAAATAAAGTATTGAGAACATATGCATGGCATAAAAACAATATTGTACAAGGTCAGTCTTATATGCACCTAATTTGCCTTCATGATTTATAGTTTAGGATTACCGGTTCCCCTGTATACTACAATGTAGCTTGGCAGTATACACAATAACTGTCGTTATCAATTCAGAATTTAGTAAGGTTTTTATTCACTTACTATTGACCAAAATGTATATAAGGGACAATTTTATTATGAATCATCACAATTTTGTTCCATGTGTGCACTTGAAGTAAGGCGTAGCAGGAACTTGTGTCAGACTGTAACACGCCAGTATAAACATAACTCAGAGTGAAAGATAACACACATAGTTTATTCGTACACTTCTTGTTCCGCCATCTTCCAACTACCACGATCACACCACGTGACCCTTCACACATACAGGGCGGGAACACATGGAACAATACGCGGTGTGATACACAGACGTTTCCTGTTCGCAAGACTAGTTTTTACATGTGTCACTCACGCTCTCGACGATATTACAGGGAGAGAATGGTGGGCCTGGTTTGGCGGGGCCACCAGGCCCTCCTGGAGCTCTGGTAGTCGGTGAAGACTCCTCAGTCATTTCCGGTCCAAAAGGTGAAAAGGGAGTACCGGGCGATGTCTCAATAATCCTGGCCAAAGGAGACAGGGGTGCTTCGGCACCACGAGGACCACGGGGCAGGAAAGGGAAAACAGGAGCACGGGGAATCATGGGAGAGATTGGCATGCCCGGCTGGCCAGTAAGTAACTCTTCCAGTAGGTTCTCTGGTATAGATGAGAACGATTAATTGGTTTATGTAATATGTATCTTGCGTTTATGCGTGGTTGCTTACTTAAATTAAGTTTGCTCTATTTGTTATTTAAAATTTATTAAGTAGATTTATTAATTTATTACGTTATCATCGATTTTTTATGTATAGGCTAATAATAGTAACGTCTTTAGTATGCATGAAGGTGGGCGTGTGTGCGTGTGTGAATGCGTTTTGTTAATGCTGAGATAGTTGAATGGTATTTTACAAAGCAATGAAACTCTTATCTGTAAATACTGGACACATTCCTCATTGTATTGCGTGCTGTGTGTAGGGGCCACGTGGAGTTCCTGGACCCAGAGGTCCTATTGGTCCAACAGGCCATGGGGAGAAGGGTGACCGAGGAGAAAAGGGTCCACCAGGACCCCCTGGCCACGTCTACTCTACTGGAGGTAAATGAACCAACAATCAAACATCATACGTATCAAATTGCTTCGTTATAATTAACATGGTAAACACATCACTTATTATATCATAGCATCTACCACGTCAACAGACGATAAGTTGATCGTATAGATACCATTTTCTTTCTAATGCGAAATTGATATGTAGGTGATGGCACTCCCCTTGAGGGACCACAAGGACCCATTGGCCCTGCAGGCCTGCAAGGACCAAGAGGCTACCCTGGAGAACCAGGAATAGGGCGACCAGGTCCACCAAGCCCAGCAGGGGCACCTGGAGGTCAGGGAAGGGCTGGATTAATGGGCCCTGTTGGACCAAAGGGAGAGCGAGGAGATTACGGCCCTCCTGGACGCGCCGTACGTTTTTAAGTTTCAGTATTACATATTTTTCGTTCACGTCGAAGTTTCAGCAGGTAAAGAATCCTACCGGGTGTAGAAAAGCCACAGTTTCTTTCTTACTGAGATTTTATGGCTGTTACCGTGATGCTAAGCAATATTCATAGTATAGGAATGATAGGTAGGCTCTCTGTATTCCGTTAATTGATATCATAGGTAAGATATTACATTGAATAATCTTCGCCAGTAAGTATACATGTAAATGAGAGTTAATTGCTAATATTATTAGAAATTAAAACACAAAATCCCTTACCATTTACATTCTCAACCTAAGTCCTTCTTTTTATATGTCTAGTTTTTGGTCAAATAGCAACACTCAGTTATCTATCAGACTCTCATTGCTTGATCTTAACTATGGCGCAGTTACGTTAGTAACAGCAGGCATAATTTCAAGTTTGCCTAGTACAAGTCCTCCATTAGTGTAGAATGTATGGCGACACAAATAGACGTTATTAACACCCGACTCTCTTAAATTCCTGTTTTATCATCAGGGTGAGCCAGGCAGGGTGGTATATTCCGATGACACGGGTAAGAGCCGTGAAGTAACTGGTCAGCAAGGTACAAAGGGAGAGCCCGGTGTGCAGGGACAGCCAGGTCGTCAAGGCGATCTCGACTACAAGCTTCTGCAGCAATATATCGACCAGTTTGTACAGCAAGGGGAGGATGGGCCACCCGGCCCACCCGGTCCTCCAGGATCCAACGCGGAAAAATCCTTCTCAGGCATAGGTTCTGGAGCAGTACGTATTTATGACATTTATGTACTTGACAGGCTCTTGGGAAAACCTCTACCTCATATTTCCTATAAGTACCTATAGTAAATGTAGACAAGCCTTAGAGGTGAAATGTTAAATGAACAGATGAGAAAAAGAGACATCTCCATATATTTTAAAAGTAAAAAAACATAAAACAGTGGGAGTGTAAATTTTATTATATAAAAGTATGCGCGAAGCAAATTCAATAAGCAATACTTCATCCTAATTGTGTTTTTTCAGGCTGTTACTTACAAGAATAAGGAGGACCTGGTATATTCAGCACACACTAGTCCCGTAGGTACTCTTGGTTTTCTCACAGAAGAGGATGCTATGTTGGTGAGAACCAGAGGGGGATGGAGATACGTACAGGTGATTGCAAACATTTCTGCGTTATGTGTCTCGCTTCTCGAACTCTTTACGTACGTATGTGAGGCGGTAAATATATAGCTTCTCAAGATTTATCGTTTTAGGCCGATTAGAATGCAACGAACACGAGGAAGATTATATACCACAAGAGAAATGATAGTAGTTACTAGTAGAGCATTAGTGACCTATATAGTATCAACTGTTTTTACTGCAGTTCGAAAGAAACCACAGACAAACAGATTTCGCGCGCAGATCTTGACGTTTTCTCCTGTTTTTCAGCTGGGAGCACTGCTGGCAACACCAAAGACTACAACGACGACAACAACACTCAGACCTCCGTACGCAGCAGAAGCACCTGACTCTCAAGTGTTTGAGCGCTCACGACGGGGACCCACGGTAAGCACGCCCTTTACTCGTCTGCATTAATTCAACCGGTTATTCTATAGTCCCTATATATTATATTGTCTCTGGTTTATTATACAGACGATCTCACTCTTATATCTATATACAGGAAATCTATCACGTATGTAAAACATCACCATGAGTTTTCCGGTGGCAATTATTTGTCATATTGCGAGAATTATGACCTTACTCTAGAATTTCAGTAATTTCATGAACAGACTGCGACACTCCCATGTACTGACATTTTTTGCTGCTTCACTGCCAAGCAGCACTCTGCTTAACACGTGACGATCATCTATCTGAAATGGTGTTATTTTTTTATAATGTGTATTGAAAGTACAAGGATAGTATAGGTCGGATTGTTTCGTGGGTAGGCGCATGTATACCAAGATGTCTGACAACCAGCGATTCGCAAAAGTTCTCATGTTAGGCATGGGTCACCCACGCCAGACGTTCTCATTACGTGTCAATACATTTTAGTTGCCCTGACTCTGGCATAACACTAGGCATCCCTGACTATGATGATGTCTTCACTAAGAAAATTTTCCACTGGTGTATTTTGCAGATTAAGCTCGTGGCATTGAACGAGCCTTACATAGGGAACATGCGAGGAATTCGAGGCATAGACTTCCAGTGCTACCGGCAGTCACGCGCGGCAGGTCTCCGCGGCACATACAGGGGATTCCTGTCAGCCTATGCGCAGGATTTGTATAGCATCGTGCGGCAGGCTGACCGGCAGGGAGTTAAAGTAACAAATCTCAAGGTTGGTATGCACAGCCTGCATGTTTGGTCTTGTCATCATCTTCGTTTTCGTCAAGGTTTACATAATAGACATATCACATTCTGTCCATTCTGCTACACCTAATATCTTATATTGATACTACTGATTTATACGTACTGCAGTGCTATTACCGTTGGTGGTGTTCATTGTTTGCGATACGTCAAGCAGAAAGTTCCCGTTGCTGTTGGGTTTTGGAGAATTAGCCAGATTGGACGCCCACTGATTGATATCTAGCATACATTTCACAATAACTATACGATATATATGGCTGATAAACAATGTGAGAAACTCTTCTTCTTTTTATATAAATGCAAACCTTTCTTCCGATTCCTCTGGTTACAGAATGATACATTGTTTGACTCCTGGCACGACATATTCAAGGGTGATGGAGGTTTGTTCAGAGGGAACACCAAACTCTACAGTTTTGATGGACGAGACGTTTTTACTGATCATAATTGGTAAGTATGCTGAGCAACATTATACATAAATATAGGGGCTTCCTGCATTCTCATCCTGTGAAAAGGGTCCGGTTCATCAGGGATGTTTGAAATCTTTAATAGACATCTTTTCTAGCCACCTGTTATGCACTCACTGATTTATAGTTTGTTAAACCGCAACCAATTGATATGATGATAATTACAACAATCACCGTTAACATACGTAGTTGTGGCGTTCGTGTGATTTTATATGCGGAAAAACTCACACTCTGCGCACCCTGCTAACTCAACCATCTAAATTTAATACATAAGCAGGTTCTTGAAAGATGGGTTGATTGGTAACTTCTAGCTGATACAGTCCAGTGTGGTACAGTGACATGACCCACGCATCCAACTATATGCAACTACACCTAAACTACGTCGGCCAGCTTTATATTAGCAAATACCATTTTGTATAGTTAAATTCATGACACTGTCTACTACTTTGATTGATGGAGAGTTGTTTGCAAGGTTATGCTTTCACTTTTACCAATGTAACCCCATTAAATCAATAGTAGTGGTAGTGGTAGTTGTGTTAGCAGTGGTGGTAGTGGCAGTGGCAGTAGTAGCAGTAGCAGCAGTCGCAGCAGTAGCAGTAGAAATTTTTTATTCACGCCAGATAATAATAATATTTGTTGCCACAGGCCACAGAAGATAGTCTGGCACGGATCGGACGTCGTAGGTGGCCGAGTGCCAACCGACTTCTGCAGTGGCTGGTTAACAGGTGACAAAGAGCAGACAGGCCTTGGCAGCTCACTGTTTGCAAATCAGCTGCTGCAGCAGACCAAGTACTCGTGCAATAACGCCTTCGTAGTGCTCTGTATAGAGAACACCAGTGTAGGGAGGCTGAAGAAATTCAAGCGATAGGAGCCGGCTTGGCAGTGACGCAATAAGAAATACGACGGGCAACAAGAGGGCAAGGATTGTAAGATCGGGCCGTAGTTGTCGGTGGCGCTTTGTGGAATATGTAAATTTTTGATGTACTTCCTATTATTGACCAAAAAGTGTGAGTTTTTTGGATTAAGCTAGGATGATTTTAATCATGTCGTTCATCGTGCGGAGGCATTGTAAATTAATCGTGCATTTAAAACGCTCAACCGATGGTTGATTATTGTTCTATTTAAATTTTATAATTTAAATATTTAATGGATTTGTCGGAAAATTGATACCGCTGCATGTTTTAATGTTGTATTATACCAAAGTCTGTACACCTTTCGTTGCCAGCTCTCTTGCAACAGCAAACAAACGTTGATTTAGGCATCCGTTGTTAAAGTTACAAACTTTTATAGCATATATTGATAGAACTTGTGTATGTGTTTTAGGAAGTAAGACATTTTAAGATCTAATTATCGTTGTGAGCTGGAATTCTTTGCGCAGTTTGCTGGGTAATTATTAAATTTCATATTTATTTGTGATATTTTCGTCGTGGACTATTTTCATTTACGAAGACCACAAAAGTTATTATACTACCAACTGGAGATGCTCGTGCACGCGTACGGGTGTGATTTTAGGCAATTATTCTTGTTGTGTTGTAATAATTTTATTTGGTCATCGGTTAATAGCCTACCATCTATTGTATTGAAACCAGTTCATGATCAGCATCTTGGGTATCATTTTAATGAATTTTAATACGTTTCCCAATCATTAGAGCTACGTAGAGCTTGCAAAGGTGACGTGATAGCTTACAACAGAAACTGCATGCCACCGTATATGTACACGAATTCGATCGCGTGTAACCCCCCCCCCCGAATTTCCTGATTTAGTCGCACATCTTGGGTACGTATTTAAGCAGTGGTTAATAGATGGTGAACATAAGGGTCATGTGAATATGTACATGTAAGTATGTCTCATTTATAACATTTAAAATTGTAGGAGAGAAGTGCAAGCGGTAGTGATTGCTGTCGTTTAAAGGATGAAATCTTTCTTATCGAAATAATAATTATTAAGTTGAAAATAAAAATCCCAGCGGAATCCTAGTTATAGGTGTAGCTGCTAGGTTGCCATGACTACGCCATTTCTACCTATTTAGGTATACCAGATATTGTTCAGAAATCACAATTACAGGGGCGTGTTACCCCCGCCGTGCTAGTCCTAAGCTGCTGATATCATAGAGGAAACAATGTTTTAAACATGCCTATATTTGTCAAAATGGTGATCATCAATCATTAGATATTGATTAACTTGACATCCTTTTTAAAGGATATGTAGGGCCTACGCGTGGTTTGCAAACACTTGCCTAATATAATTGTGAAACCACAGGCCAGTTTTCCACCGTCGAATGTTATTCTTTGTTTATACACACGTATTACGTATGTGGGCATTCGTATTTACCTACCCGTGTATGTATTATCATGAATTCTATGAAGTCGGCCAACAATCTACGGGCTTATTACACGTTAGTCATGTAAGCGCACGAGACGCCAGTCACGTGTCATGCTGTTACTCCATATATAGAATAAAACGTCTATTATATAAACTTTCTACTTATCTCTTGCCGTGTTATTTTGTTTATGCGTGCACAAAGTCCTGAGTCAGTGCGCGTAACATTCTATTCTATTATATATATATATATATATAATATATATATATATACTTATAGTATATATATATATATAATATATATATAAATTCAGCCACGTTTCAGTTTCATTTGCCCAATTACTTGATATGCGCTAACATAACCCTGAAACGAAAACAAAAACAAAGACACGGTATTATTGAAATCGGAAATTTCGCGTCTTATAGCAATTTCGAGTGATAACAAAAATGAGATATCCTTAGACCACATTGAAATTCTAGCGATTTCAACAACTCGAAATTACAGCGTTATATGTGCTTTCTAATACGGCAAACTGAAACATACTGTGTTTGAAATGCGTGACTATGCGCACGTTAAGCTTATTACCAGGTGGTCTAGTCATTTTCGGTTTCCGTTAGTATTCGTCTGTACACGTATACGCGCCTATATGTTACGTGTATGTGCCCCTGTGAGGTGAGCAAGTGCGCGTGTGCGTGCGCGGCGCGATGTGTGCAAGACATAAGCAGCTAGGCCACTCACGAATCGGTTTATGTACAAATGTTCCTTGAACGACTTACAAAGCGCATTCATTGTTACATGCTTCGCCATGCTGTGAAATATTTGTAGAGATGTATGTTCGTTATGCCCAGTAACTGCCAAAAGAATGATTATTTTGATAAATACTGTTATATTTAAAGAAAAAAAGATCACATTCCAAGGAACCATTGGAATGATCATTGTTTGTTAGTCGCGCGCCGCCGTGTCCAAAATCTTCGCCCTGATTCTGGTTATCTATGCACTGCAAAATACTTTAACTCGCGCTGCAGGCCATATTCGATGTTTATAGTTTGGGTTTTGTTATTCTATATTCAGACAGGCAATTGGCAGATTATCCATGGAAGCTGCCTCCATAAACATGATCCTCCTTTTTTAAATAGAATATATTTAAATAAATGTGATTTCTTTAAGCACGGTAAAAAGCATGCGCAAACCCCGTCTGACATATAACATATTTCGTTTGTTGCTTATAATTATTGAAGTGAGCGTTTTTCCATTAATAGATTTATAACATACACGTCCTGTAGTATATGCTCTCTACAGTGCATATTATCGTCACGAGTTGAAGCTAGTAGGTGCTACCTGACTAGTGAGGCACGCACGCATACAGTGAGACCGGAAATCTTTAGTAAACGTCAGATAATGAAAAGTTTAATAAACCATATAACACGTTCAACGTTGGCACCCCAACACCCTCAATTACATATATACGGAGAACTATATATAGTACAGTTAAATGATACACATACATATACATATAATGCAGAAATGATTAAGAACTGTTACAGCACACCGCCGATGGGCGTCCTCCTTAAGGTTCGCCGGTATCTTCTTCGGTCATTCTTCCTCTCCCTTCTCCTTCTTCTTCTCTCTTCTCCTTGCTCTTTCCTGCTGCGGCACTTCTCCTCTTCGTCTGCTTCTTCTCCTTGCTGGCACTTACTCTTCTTCGTCGGCTCTTCCCTGCTCGGGCACTCTCCTCGTTCGTCGGCTTCTTCTCCTGCTTGCCTATTCGTCCAGCCACACGTGTCTCTCAAACACAAACTTCGGCTCTTCTCTCTTTCTTCGGCTTCCTCTTCTTCCTCCTATTCTCCGCGCCACCCGCTGTCCTCAAACACAACTTTGGCCCCTTATCCGCCGCACGGTCTACCTCCAGACTCACTCAACGCGGTCCTCTCAAATTTGTGTCAGCTTCACTCGTCTACATCAGGACACGAATCACTTACACGTCTACTTAGACACAATACTCTACACGTCTATAATCAGACCACAATACGTTCACACGTCTCTATATCCGACACGAGCTGTTACCGCTCTTATTATTTCCAGCCCATAACCTCCACACGCTCTATTCCGGACAACAACCCAGGCCGTCTGAACCTCTCCCGCACGTCTCACACTCGCCAGCTATCGCGCGTATAAATCACCTAGGGCATAATCTAGGTCATGCCGCGTGTCTAAACTCTGTCACTTGTGACATACGCCCCAATTGCAACTATGTTCTTACATATAGTCAAGACTCCCCCTCTCCCTGTCCTTCTGCGTAACTTTCCCGCATAACTTAATCACCCGCAGAGAGTCGATTAAGGTAATCGGCTCCCACATTGTCGGCTCCTTTAATGGCTTCAATGCGGACCCTGTACTGTTGCAGGAACATATATTCAACCAAATCAATATATTTATATATTTCGTTTGGCATCAGACGTTACCGCTCGCGGGCGGCAGCAGCGCTAACCAACGACAAAAAATAATCTAAACAATTTCAATCGGCATTGCATAGAACTGGAATCTTAAGGAGATTGGGAATCTTCTCATTATGCCAGAGAAGCACTGGGATATAGATTTCTCATAGAAAATTACTTATTGGTAGGTATGTCCTCTCTCTTTTAAATAGGTACCCTACAAGCTAGGGCGTCGTACCATCTTTACCAGAGCCATGGCGATGGATATTTATGTATGATAGAAATCACTTGTGGGTAGCCCGGCCCAGTTTAAATGTTTTGTACATCAAATATGAATCATTTTGTCAGCGGCCTGCGCATGCGCGAACCGGATTTTAGCCTATTCAGCATAGATAAAATTCTAAATATTTGCTAGCGTACTAGGCGGTCAATCTGGGTTGCAGATGCCAGTAGCGATTGAAATGTATGGCATTTACGAATACGCATGACGTACAGGTAAATGAGGAGAATGCTCTTATGACACCTCTGTTCTGGGGTACCCTTGCAAGCTAGGGCGTCGTACGATCTATTACCAGAACCATGCAATAAATATTTATATAGAATCTACTTGTGGGTAGCCCGGCTCTCAGTTTAAATGTATTTTTTACATTCAAAATATGAATTCATTTAGTCTGCTGCTGCGCATGCGCAAACTCGGATTTTAGCAATTTCAGCTAGATAAAATTCTAGATATTTGCTAGTGTACCAGGCGGTCATATTCTGGGTTGCATATGCCAGTAACTGTTTAAAATGATGTATTTCAACGAATATTACAGTCAGGTATATGAGAGAATGCTGCCATAATTCATCTGTTCTGGGTACCTGCAGCTAAGGGGCGTCGTACGATCTATTACCAGAACCATGGCGAGGTATTTATATAGAAATCTACTTGTGGGCTAGCCCGGCTCCAGTTTTAAATGTATTTGCTACATCAAAATATGAATCATTTAGTGCTGTTGCGCATGCGCGAACTAGGTTTTAGCCAATTCAGCATAGATAATATTCTAGAATAATGCTAGTGTACCAGGCGGTCTATTCTGTGTTGCTATGCCAGTAACTGTTAAAATGATGAGATTTCAACGATATTGCCACGTACAGGTATTGCTTGAGAGAATGCTGCCATAATCCTCTGTTCTGGGTCCTGCAGCTTTGGCGTTCGACCATCTTTTACCCGAACCATGGCGATGGATATTTATTATAGAATCTAACGGTCGTGGCGTAGCCCCGCTTCCAGTTTAAATGTGTTTTTATATCAAAATATTAATCATTTAGTCAGCTGCTCTTGCGCATGCCGCGAATCGCATTCTAGCTTATTCAGCATAGATAAAATTCTAGAATATTTGCTAGTGTAACAGGCGCCGTCATATTCTGGGTTGCATATGCCCAGTAGCGATTAAATGAGGGGCATTTAACGAATAGATACAACGTACAGGTATTCTGAAAGAATGCTGCCAGAATACCTCTGCTCCGGAGTAACCCTGCAGTAGGGATTCGTACCTCTTTTTACCTTAAACCATGGCGATGATATTATTATAGCAAATCTACTTGGTGGGTAGTCCCGCCTTCCAGTTTAAGTATATTTTTATATCAAATATGTATAATTTATAGCTACTGTTGCATGCGCGGGGGAAAACTTTCGGGATTTTTTTGCCTATTATTATAGGATAATTCTAGATTTTGGTGCTATGTACGAGGCGCGTTATATTTGGGTTTGCATAGCCCCTATGCTCAGTAACCGTTAGAAGAATGAGTATTTTAACGAATATATCATGCTAGATGTAGTCTAGATAGGAGAATGCTTCCCACAATCACTCTGTTCGGGTTACCCTGCAGCTAGGGCATGGTACATTTTTTACCAGAGCCATGGCGATGCGATATTTATCATAGAAATCTACTTGTGGGTAGCCCCGCTCTAGTGTAAATTTATTTTTATATCCAAAATATGATTATTTTACGTCACTACTACGCTGCGC